GTTTAAAAAACAGAATCCTGGTGGTGCAGTGGGTTAAAGCACAGCACTGAGAAGCTAAAGCCACTTCCGCATGAGTTCGATTCCCGCCTGCCCCGGAGGTGACCACATGGCGTGGCAGACCTCTCCTGGCCCGCCCGCTGCTCCCATCAGCAGTGTACTTCGTTGATCTGCCTGTTCTGCTCCCCACTCTGTCTCTGGTGAAGTCTCTCACTGCCCCTGAGTCTCTGGCCTGTACCCCAGTTCTGTATGTACAAATAAATAAATCTTTAGAAAAAAAAAAAAACAACAGAATCCAACCTTCTGCTGTCTCCAGGAAACACATCTAACTACTAAGGATAACAATAGATTGAAAGTAAAAGGATGAAAACAATCCTACAAACAAACAGACCAAAAAAGAAGGCAGGAACAGCTACTCTTATATCAAATAAAATAGATTTCAAACTAAAAAAGGTTTAAAGAGACACAGAAAGTCACTACATTATGATTAAGGGGACAATACAGCAAGAAGACATGGACACTCATCAACGTATATGCACCAAATGAAGGAGCACCAAAACATATCAGGAAACTATTGTCATCTATGAAAACGCATATCAGAGAAAATATGTATGTAGTAGGAGACTACAATGCACCACTCTCAACAATGAACAGATCAACAAGACAAAAAATAGCAAGGACACTAATGCTCTAAACAAGGACCTAGACCTCATGGGTCTAACACATCTCTAGAACACTGCACCCCCAAAAATCTGAGTTTTCCTCAAATGACATGGATCATTCTCAAGGATTGATCACATACTGGGACACAAGACAAATATCAATAGATACACTCAGACTGAAGTAATACCAACTATCTTTTCTGACCATGAAGGAATCAAACTGGAAATAAACCATATGAAGAATGCAAGAAACCCACCACCTCGTGGAGATCGAAACCCACACTACTGGAGGACCATTGGATCAATGAGGACATCAAGGAAGAAATTTAAAAATACCTTGAGAAGAATGATAATGAGGATACAACTCTCCAAAACTTATGGGACACATTAAGAGCAGTTATAGGAGGAAAATATATAGCAATACAGGCTCACATAAAGAAACAAGAAACAAGTCAAAGAAACAACCTAATCTCCCACCTTAAATAACTGGGAAAAGAACAATAAAATAACCCAAATGCCAGTAGAAGACAGGAAATGATAAAAGTCAAAGCAGAAATACATGAAATAGAAGCTAGGAAAACAATCCAAACAGTTAATGAAAACAAAAGTTGGTTCTTTGAAAAAGTAAATAAGATAGACAAACCCCTAGCCAGGCTCACAAAGAAAAAAAACAGGAGAAAGCACAAATAAACAGGATCATAAATGAAAGAGGAGAAATTAAAACAGATACAGAAGAAATCAAAAGAACAATCAGAGACTACTATGAACAGCTATATGCAAACTAGTTCACCAATCTAGAAGAGATGGACAAATTCCTACAAGTCTACAATCATCTGAAGCTAGATAAAGAAGACATAGAACAACTAAACAGGCCAATTACAAGCAGTGAAATTGAAGCAGTAGTTAAAGCCTTCCCCAAGAGTAAAAGCCCAGGACCAGATGAATTTACAAATGAATTTTACCTGGCCTGTTTATTTGTTCTATTTATTCTTTATCTAGCTCTGGATGATTGTAGACTTGCAAGAATTTGTCCATCTCTTCTGGATTCAGAAATGAACTAGTGCCCATTCTGCACAAACTCATTTAAAAAATTAAGAAAAAAGGAAAACTGCCAAATACTTTCTATGAAGCCAACATCACACTATTACCAAAACCTAACAAAGACAACACAAAAAAGAAAACTTCAGACCAATTTCCCTAATGAACACTGACACAAAAATCCTCAAGAAAATCTTAGCAATAAGAATCCAACAATGCATTAAAAGAATAATACACCACGACCAAGTTGGCTTTATCCCAGGATGAATCAACATCCAAAAATCAATTAACGTAATCCATCATATCAACTGACAGAAAAATAAAAACCATATAATCCTATCAATAGATGCAGAAAAGGCGTTTGACACAGTTTAAGGCCCTCAAAATCCTTTGAATATAAGAAACATACCTCAACATAATAAAAGCCATATATGGCAAACCCACAGCCAATATTATTATCCTCAATGGAGAAAAGTTGAAAGCCTTTCCTTTAAGATCAGGATGTTCACTATCACCACTGCTCTCCAACTAATACAGGAAGTCCTAGCCAGAGCAATAAGACAGGAAAAGGGCATACGAGGAATCCAAATAGGGAAAGAAGAAGTAAAACTATCTTTATTTGCATATGATATGATAATTTACATTGGAAAATCCTAAAAATTCCATAGAAAAACTAATCAAAACAATTAACCAGTTTAGTGAGGTAGCAGGATATAAAATCAACACACAAAAGTTAGTAGCCTTCCTATACACAACCAATCAGAAGAAGTGGAAATCAAAAAACCCATCCCCTTTACAATTGAAAGGAAAAAAAACCCAAATACTTGAGAATAAACCTAACAAAAGAGGTAAAAGATCTATATAAAGAAAATTATAAAACACTGTTAAAAGAAATACTAGGAGACACAAAGGAATGGAAAGACATCCTCTGCTCATGGACCAGGAGAATTAAAATGGCCATCCTACCAAAAGCGATATACTGATTTAATGTTATCCCAATAAAAGTTTCAATGACATTCTTCAAAGAAATAGAACAAATATTGATGAGATTTATATAGAACTACAAAAAACCTCAAATAGCCAAAACTCTCCTGACTAAAATGAAAGAGAATGGAGGTATCACACTCCCAGACTTCAAGCTATACTACAAAGCCATAATAATCAAAACTGCATGGTACTGGAACAAGAACAGACATACAGACCAGTGGATTCGAATAGAAAGCCCAGATATAAGCTCACAGGCTTATAGACAGATAATCTTTCACAAAGGAGCAAAGAACATACAATGGAACAAAGAAAGCTTGTTCAACAAATGGTGCTGGGAAAACTAGGTTGCTATGTGCAAAAAAAAAAATGAAGTTAGATTACTACCTCACACCATGCACAAAAACCAACCTGAAATGGACTAAAGAACTAGACATAAGAACTGAAACCATAAAATATCTACATGAAAAGGTGGGCAAAACACTACATGACATACACCTCAGTAACGTCTTTAAGGATACATCAACCAAAGCAAGGATACTGAAGGAAAAGATAAACAGCTTGGTCTACATCAAGTTAAAGAGCTTCTTTACAGCAAAGGCGACATTACAAATCAAAACAAAGAGACACTGTATTAATTGGGAGAAAATTTTTGCAAATAATACTAATGACAAAGGACTGATCACAAAGATATACAGAGAGCTGATTAAACTCAACAAAAATAAAATGAACAACCCCATCAAAAAATGGGCAGAAGTGCTAAGGACACACTTCTCCAAAGAGGAAATGCAGACAGCCAACAGGCATATGAAAAAATATTCAACATCACTTGTAATAAGAGAGATGCAAATTAAAACCACAAAGAGATACAATCTCACACCAGTGAGAACGCACATATTAAAACAACTAGTAACAACAAATATTGGTGAGGATGTGGAGAGAAATACACTGCTGGTGGGAATGCAAACTGGTACAACCACTATGGAAAGCTGTTTGGAGGTTTCTCAAACTGCTAAAAATGGAGCTTCCATATGACTCAGATATCTACCCAAAGAATGCAAAAACTTTGACTCAAAAGGACACCTGCACCCCATGTTTATTGTTGCTCCATTTACAATAGGGAAGATGTGGAATCAACCCATGTTGCCAAAAATAGATGACTGGATTAAAAAGATGTGGTACACAAATGGAATATTACTCAGCAATAAAAAAAGATACACTCATGCCTTTTACAGCAACATGGATGGAGTTGGAAGGGATCATGCTAACTGAAATCCGCCATAAAGAAAAAAGAAAAATACCGGATTATTTCACTCATAGCAGGAGCATAAGGGACCAGAAAAAAAAAAAAAAGAAAAAACAACTGGAATAAAGAAAATATGAAAAACAATGAACTATAAACCAGAGACATTTTACAGGGGTGGAGATGGGATCAAAATGGGGGAGGGGGGAAGAGTGCACAGGACTATGGTGATGGCACATGATCAGTGGTGGGAATTAAGTCCACAGGGATTACAATCGAGATGAAAAAATGCACAAAATGAAGAATGATGTAAAAAATATGTGCCAGCTAAGTAGGGCAGGTGGTTCCCAGAAGCTCTAGCCACAAGTTCTGCTTACATTTTATCTTTTGGTCCATATTAGGTTGTCTACCAACAAGGAATGCTGGGAAATGTCATTTAAAAAAAAAAGATATATTTGTTTAAGCATACAGAACTGGGGTACAGGCCAGAGGTGCAAGGGTGGTGAGACGATTCACCAGAGACAGAGTGGGGAGCAGAACAGGCAGACTACTGAAATACACTGCTGAGTGGAGCAGCCAGCAAGAGAGGAGAGGTCTGCTGTGCCATGTCGGTCACCTCCTCGTTTGGGGATCGAACATGTGCCAAAGCTAGTAGTGCTGTGCTTTAATCCATTGCTCCATGAGGGAGAACCCAGAAATGTAGGTTTTTTAAAGCAGGGCACACAATGGACCACACTGAAATTAGTGTTATGTATGTATGCTTAAGAAAAAAAGAGAGAGAGAGAGAGATTTATATTAAGTAGCCAAATTGCTGTCTCTGCCATGGATAATATAAGCATATTATTTGAAGATATGGAAAAAATTTCCAAGAAAAATAAATACACACATTGAAAACGGTTGCCTGCAGGGAATGAGACTGAGGTGGAGCAAGGGGCTATTGCTTTTCATGAAAAGCCCTGATCTTATTTTTAACCTTATTGGGGTAGGTGGTGGTGGTGGTGGTGGGGAAGTGCTTTGTGTTTAATCTCACACTCATATTGGAGGTTTCATTCTAGGTGTTTTTCTCTCCCCAATAGGGAGACCGGAAAGCATTATGTTTTGGAGACCAGAAATTTAACCTCCACGAGGTGGGACAGGAATTTGAACCCAAAGCTGCTCACCCAATTCCAGGCTCTCTGGACATCTGTCTGATCACAGAAGTGCCCCTGGAGGATATGATCCAGCACCTCAAGGTGAGTTATATTCCTATTTTTTCAATATTTATTTTTATTTAGTTGTGCATAACAAGAACTGGGGTATAGGCCAGTGGTGCAGGAGGCGGGTGGGGGAGGTGTGGTGACAGGATTCACCAGAGACAGAGTGGGGAGTAGGACAGGCAGATCTACTGAAGTACAAATCTGAGGGGTTTAGGGGAGGGGTGGCGGGGGAGATAGGAGAGGTCTGCTGCGCCATGTGAGTCAGTTCCCTGGTGGGGGATGGAACTCATGCTGCAGTGGCTGATAACCCTTGTGCCACCAGGGAAACCCTCCTGTTATTAATTCTGATGGTCCTGTAACATTTAAAGTGATTTCATGTAAAGGGGACACTGATTCTCCTTTTGGGAAACACAGACTAAGGTCTTGAATATATTCTGTGTAAATATCCAGGACTCTTTGGAAAGTATCCATGAAAAAGTCTGTTTTGGAAACATAGCAGGTGAAACATAGAAGTTAAGAATATGAGTTGGGGGGCCCTCCCTGGTGGCGCAGCGGGTCAAATCACAGCACTGAGAAGCTAAAGCTACTACAGCATGAGTTTGATACCCCGCCCAGAGGTGACCCACATAACTGGCAGACCTCTCCTGACCCACCCACTGCTCCCCTCAGCAGTGTACTTCGTTGATCTGCCTGTTCTGCGGTTTTTAGGTACTCTGTCCAAGGCCACACAGCTGATAAAGGTGTGGAGCAGAGTGATGGAGGGAAGAATGGTATATAAGGTCAGAAAGACCATCATCTTCCAGGTCACTTCAAGGGAATTAAATTTTGGTCTCACACATGGACCTGTATGAATGACTTTTTTCTTCTCCTCCCACTTCAGGCTTGTGACATCCCCATTGAGGAGGGTCCAGTCCCGAGAACTGGGGCGAAAGGGCCCATTATGTCCATCTATTTCCGAGACCCCGACAGAAACCTGATTGAGGTATCCAATTATATCTCCTCGTGAATGGGGCTGCCCTTATCCATTCTGTTTCCTGTTAGACTCTGAGGACTGTGTTCGTAGGCACGTCACATATTCTGGTGGCAGGGGGCTGAGTTGGGTTTAGTGTTCCAAATGACTGAATGTCTTCCACCCAAGCTGCCCCAATAAATTCTTACATCTCAGTTACTATGTGTTCTTCATTATTCTTGTCTTGGCATTATGTGTGGGTGTTTGCTTGGGGCTTGGTGTTTCTGAGCTTTTGGCGGGTCAGTGACCAAGGTATGACATTTCTAAGGTGTAACTCCAGAGTCATTTTCTTGGGATTCAAAGCCCCTGACAGATTTCTCCTTGTCAGTGAGCCTGTCTTTGTCATCCTTTAGAACTTACTTCACTCCTTCCAGGTACTGCCTACTATTTCCTCTACCTCATAGGCCTCACTGGGCCCAAAGATCTCCCTTATTTCCATGAAATCTTCAAGGACCAACCTTGGTAACACTAGTCCCCCCTGAGCACCTTCTCTGGTCTCATCCCCCAGGGTATTTACATTTTCAAGGATTTATTTATTCACACATACAGAGCTGGAATACAGGCCAGAGGTGGGGAGGTGAGAGGCTTCACCAGAGACAGAGTGGGGAGCAGAACAAGCAGATTGACCAAAATACACTGCTGAGGGGAGCAGCAGGTGTGTCAGGAGAGGTCTGCCGTGCCATGTGGTTCTCCTCACTGGCCAGGGATCAAATTCATATTGCAGTGGCTGCGATAGCTTCATAGTGCTGTGCTTTAACCTGTTGTGCCACCAGGGAGGACCCAGTATTGGCATTTTCAATCTTTGCATTTGGTAGGTTGTCCCACACTCCTGATGACAAAGTAGACAAGGCAAGGACCAATTTCCTATTTCTGTGTTCCTACCATCACCACACCATTTACTCAGTCAACAATAGACATATATTAGCACCTAGTGTATCTCTGGCCCTGTTCTAAGCATTAGAAAAACAGTGTTGAAGAGATAAACATATCTATGTTTGTGGAACTGTCATTATTGTGAGAACAATAGAAAATAAAATGAAGTAAAGAACATATGAAGTATGTTAGAGGATGATAAATGCTTTGGAGAAATAGGAAACATGGAAAAGAGGGAGTACAGATAAAAATCACTGCAGTAGTTTCTAGTATGTGGTGGGATGTTCGGGGAGCTTCACTGAAGAGACATTTGAGTACAGATCTAAGACTTACACTAGTAACTGGTGGCATATACCAGGCAGAGATAACAGCAAGTGCCAAAGTTCTGAAGCTCCAGTGTGGCTGGTGTTTGCAAGGAAGTGTGAGGAGAGCAGTAAGTAAAGGGGAGCAGTAAGTAAAGGGGAGCAGCAGGAGTGAGGTGGGAGAGGTGCAGAGGCAGAAAGTAGAGGGCCTCGTGGGCCATGGGGAGGGCTCCTGCTTTTACCCCGAGTGACAGGAGAGTGACCAGAGGGAGGGTTGTGAGCAGAGGAGAGCCTTGAGTTGACTTAGGATTTAATGGTTTCCCTCCAGCTGCTGTGAGGGGAACAGACTGAGAGGTGAGCACAAAAGAGGAACACAGTGAGCTGGAGGCTACTTCAGTGGTCCTGGTGAGCAGGTGCCACGCTGGCAGGGCAGGGGATAAAAAGTGGTTTGATTCTGCAGCTATTTTGAAGACAGAGACTGCATGAATTCACCAAGAAAGAAGGTGTCAACTAGAGAAGAGATCCACGGACAGTTACAGTTCTGATACAGAGGAGGAACCAGAAAATGAGTCAGGCAAAGAAGAAAGGAAGAGTATGGCTTCCTGAATGAATAACTGATGGATGAAAGAGTATGTGTGAGAGACTCTTGAGGTGAGGGAGTCCCTAGTCTTGTGAGCTGTGGTCTCTAAACAGTTCCCAGATTGTAATTCATTCAGGCTCTAGGGATCCCCAGAATGCTGCTGTGGAAGTATGAGAAAATTAGTTTCAGCATGCAAAATACCTTACCAAAAACTATATCAGGTTTCTTGCCTATTTTTAAAAGATGGGTTGCTTTGGACCCAGATATTCTATGCCAGGAGAAAGATGTTTGTGGAAAGAAGGAAGGGAATGAAGGAGAGAGGGAGGAAGGGAGGATGGAGAGAGGGCAGCAGGTGGGTTGATGAACGAATGGGTGGGTAGGTGGATGGGTAGTTGGGTTGATAACCCTGTCTCTAGAGAAACTCTTTCACATGTATGTGCAGAGAAAGAAAAATAAGTTTGTAAATTTCAGGCTTTCTATAACAGGGGGAAAATGAAAACAACTAAAATGTTAATCAGCAGATGAATGGGTAAACTATGCTATACCCATTCCATGAAATATTGCTCAGCAATAGAATGCAACAAACTTATGAGGCCAGCATTAACTGGACACCAAAATCAAAGACATAACACGATAAAAAAAGCTACGGGCCAATTATCTCTTACTGATGCAAAAAATCATCAATAAAATACTACTTAACAATTCAATAACCGATAAAAGTATTATTCAACCATGACTATAATTGATCTCAAGAATGCAAGATTGGTTCCACAGCAAAAGTCACTCAATGTAGTACATCATATTAATAAAACAAAGGACAAAAACCACATGATCTTTTCAATGGATTCAGGGAAAGTATTTGAGAAAATTCAACATCCAGAGGATGTTGAATTAAGGGGGGAAAAGTCCAAATGAGAAATAGAAGTTAATGTCTTCAACTTGATAAAAAGCATCTATAAGAAACCTACAGCTAGCTTTAGACTTAATGGAGAAAGACTAAAAACTTTCTCTCAGAGATCAGGGATAAGACAAGGATGTTCACTCTCACATTTATTCAACATTGTACTGGAGGTTCTAGCCAGAGTAATCGGATAAGAAAAAGAAATACAAGACTTCCATATTGGAAAAAAAATAGTTAAACGACCTCTATATGCAGATGAGATGATATTTACATCGAAAATCTGAAGGAACGTACAAGAGAGGTGTAGCAAAGCTGCAGGACACAATCCCAAAATGAAATTAAGAAAATAATTCATTTATAATAGCACCAAAAAGAATAAAATACTTAGTAATAAGGATATTATTGTAAATTATTTATAATAATTTAATAAAAGATGGGAAAGAATTATACAATGTAATCTATAAAACATTGTTTAATTAAAGAAGATTTTAATTAATGGAGAAACATTATACTCACAGACTTCATAGTGCTAAGATGGCAACACTCCACAAATTGATCTACAGATTTAATAAAATCCCTATCAGGATCTCAGCTGCTTTACTGAAACTGCAAAACTGATCCTAAAGTTCATTTGGAAATGCCAGACTCCCAGAATGGTCACAAGGAAGGAGGAAGGAAGACAGGAAGGAAAACTGACCACACAGTTACAGTAGTCAAAACTGCATGGCACTTGCATAAAAATAGATAATGTATAAATCAATACAATAAAAGTGGGAGCCCAGAAATAAGAGCATACATTATGGGTATTGATTTTTGACAAATATGCCAAGACAACTCAATGGGGAAAGAAGTCTTCAACAAATGGCATTGGGGAGCCCTACCTGGTGGCGCAATGGGTTAAAGCACTGTGAAGCAATCAGCAGCCACTGTATCACAAATTCACTTCCTGACCCACATGGCACAGCAGACCTCTCCTGTCTGCTCCCCTCAGCAGCTGTGTTTCAGTAGATCTGCCTGTTCTGCTCCCCACTCTGTCTCTGGTGAATCCTCCTATCACCCGCACCTCTGGCCTGCACCCCAGTTCTTGTGTGCATAAGTAAATAAATCTTTTTTTAAAATTGCATGGGGCAGTTGGATACCCACAAGCAAAAGAATGAAACTGAACCCCTACTTTATAGTATTTACAAAAATTAACACAACATGAATGCAAGGTCTAAATGTAAGAGCTAAAACTGTAAAACTTTTAGAAGGAAACAGTCATATATCTTAATGACCTTGGGTTACGCAGTAATTTTTAGATTACTAGATACCTGAAGCATAAGCAACCGACACAAAAAATAAATTGGACTTCAAAACTAAAAGCTTTTGTGCTATAGCAACACTCAAGACAGTGAAGACAGGGCCTCCCTCGTGGCACAAAGGGTTCAGCACTATCAAGCTATTGGCAGCCCCTGCAGCATGAGTTCCATCCCTGGGCAGGGAGATGATGCACATGGCACAGCAGATCTCTCCTGTCTGCTCCCCTCAGCAGTGTATTTCAGTCAGTTTACCTGTTCTGCACCCCACTCTGTCTCTGGTCAATCCTCTCACCCCCTGAACCTCTCGCCTGCACTCCCATTCTTGTATACATAAATAAATAAAAATAACTCTTTTTAAAATGTGAAGACAATCCACAAATAGGGGAGACTATTTGCAAATCACACATCTATAAGGGTCTAGTAACCAGAATACCTATGGAATTCTTACTACTTAACAATAAAGTGCTAATAACACAATTTAAAATGGGCAAAGGGTTGAATAGATACTGTTCTAAAGAAGATACACAATGTCTGACAAGTACATGAAAATATGTTCACCATCTTTAGTCATTAGGGAAATGCAGATCAAAATCACAAAGAGGTACCACATCATACCCACTAGGATGTTTAGAGTCAAAAATTGAAGGACAATGTTAAATGTTGGAAAGAATATAGATAAATTTGAACCCTCATGCAGCTGCTATAGAGAATATTTTCACAGTTCCTCAAAAAGTTACACACAAAAGTACCATAGGCCTCTGCAATTCCTTCCCTAGATATATGCCTATAACAATTGAAAACTTATGTCCACAGTAAAACTTTTACATGAATGTTCATAGCAGTAATATACGTAATAGCCAAAAATGTTCATTAATCAGATAGATGGATAAACAAAACATAGAATTTTCATACATTGGAATATTGTTCAGCCTTTTAAAAGCAATGAAGTATTGATACATGCTACATAAGCCTTGAAAATTTGAAGTGAAAGAGACCAATCACAATATACCACACATTCCACTGATATTAAATGTCCAGAATAAGTAAGTCTATGGAGACAGAAAGTAG